TCTGGTGGCTCCAAGGCTGTGCTTGGAGCTAAGATCCCTGTCCTGGCCAGGTTTCCTTGGTCCTTTCAGAAGCCTTCTGCCTTCCTGTCCTTCATCCCCTAAGACACCCAGGGACCTGTCCTCCCATATCCTGGACCATCCTCTTCTGTGCCTGTTCTCCTTCTCGAGGAATTGGCTTTCTCTAACCTTAGTTTCCTGGTCTCTAAAATGGAGAGAAAGTCTCAGAAGGGAAAATATGGTCAAATTTGTGTGTATGTGTGTGTGTGTGTACACGCATCTCACGTGTCTCTCAGCAGCTCCTGGGGGTAAATGGAAAAGTTAATTAGCAGCAAGATGAAAGGTGTTCTGGGATAATTGCAGGTAATATCAGGACAGCTGGGAGGGTGGGGTGAGAGGCCCCTAGATGTCCTGGGGGGTGGCAGCCCCCAGCCCAACTCCTGCAAAGCCCATCAGACACCTGGGGAGGCTGGGGGAGGGAGCGTTCTGACTGAAGGGTCTTTGTCTTTACAGGGAAATGCTTGTTAGTTGCTAAGGAACTGGGTTGTCTCTCCTGATCCAAGCTTCCCAATGTTTTGCTTAGCTTGGGAGGGGGATGCTGGGCTGAGGCTTGAGGCTCCCTTGGCGGCTGATCCTTTCCCTGGGGCTGCCGAGCCTCTGATGGGTCTCTTGGGAAGGCCTCTCTTCTGGGAGAGCTGGTTCCTTCGCATCACTGCTTGCTCCAGCCAAGGCGGCGTGCACAGGTGAGGCGAGGCAGGGAAGCAGAGGAAAACACACGTTTACAGAACAGCCTGCATGCCAGGCAGTGTGCCTTCCCCGCTATCTCATTTAACCACCGTAGCACAGCTCTGGAGGAAGGCACTTACTTCCATAGTACTGGTTTTTGCAGTTGAAGCACAAGTCCAGGAACAGTTGCTGAGGTCACGGGGTTATCAAGTGGTAGAAATTCTATATGAGTTTAGTTCAGTTCGGAAGAAAACTTGTGCTTTTATTAATTTTTAAGAGACAGGATCTTGCTCTGTCACCCAAGCTGGAGTGCAGTGGTGTGATCATAGTTAATTGCAGCCTTGAATTCCTGGGCTCAAGCGATCCTCCTGCCTTAGCCTCCTGAGTAGCTGCGACTACAGGCGTGCACCACCACACCCTACTAATTTTTCTTATTTTTGTAGGGCTAGGGTCTCACAGGCTGGTTTTTTTTTTTTTTTTTTGAGACAGAGTCTCACTTTGTTGCCCAGGCTAGAGTGAGTGCTGTGGTGTCAGCCTCGCTCACAGCAACCTCAAACTCCTGGGCTCAAGCGATCCTCTGCCTCAGCCTCCCAAGTAGCTGGGACTACAGGCATGCACCACCATGCCCGGCTAATATTTTTTCTCTCTCTATATATATTTGTTAGTTGGCCAATTAATTTCTTTCTATTTATAGTAGAGACGGAGTCTCACTCTTGCTCAGGCTGGTTTTGAACTCCTGACGTCAAGCAATCCACCCGCCTCGGCCTCCCAGAGTGCTAGGATTATAGGCGTGAGCCACCGCGCCTGGCCGACAGGCTGGTCTTGAACCCCTGGCTTCAAGTGATCCTCCTGCCTCATCTTTCCAAAGTGCTGGGATTATAGCCACAAGCCACCATACGTTGCCTAGAAAACTTGTGCTTTTAAAACCACACCATATGATGCATATACAAGGCTTTGTTCCTATCCCATGGCTGCTCAGCCCTACCACCACTACCACCATCATCATCATCTTCACCTAGTCTTCCTAGTGGCTTTCTCTCCCTTTCTTTCTTTCTTTTTGTTGAGATAGTCTCACTCTGTTGCCAGGGCTAGAGTGCCGTGGCATCAGCCTAGCTCACAGAAACCTCAAACTCCTGAGCTCAAGTGATCCTCCTGCCTCAGCCTCCTGAGTAGCTGGGACTATAGGCATGCGCCATCATGCCTGGCTAATATTTTTCTCTATATATTTTTAGTCGGCCAATTAATATCTTTCTATTTTTAGTAGAGACAGGGGTCTCGCTCCTGCTCAGGCTGGTCTTGAACTCCTGACCTCAAACGATCCGCCCACCTAGGCCTTCCAGAGTGCTAGGATTGCAGGCATGAGCCACTGTGCCCAACTGTCCCTCCTTTCCTATCCTCTCTTCCTCACCTAAGAGAAGTCATCGCGCAGGCATGGTGGGGAGGGAGGGGTGATTCAATGGATTGAGGGTGGCAAACTGTTGGGGTAGTAGTGGCCTTGGGCAGGTGGGAAGGGATGGTAATGGCCTTGGGCTCTGTCAGGCTGTTGCCTTGAGTATTCGGGAGCCCTGGCCCTCCCCACAAAGCACACTTGGTCCAGGATGGATTAATCTAGGGGAGGGAAGACACTTGGGGAAGATTTCCCTTAAATGCTTCTGGAACTTCCCTCTTTGTCCCATGCCAGCTCCTGACTATAGAAGATCTGCCTTTATTTTAGATACTCCAGAGAGTAACATTAAGACTATTATTCACCTCTAGATACTACGCATGAGAAGGCTGGAGTTAACACCCGATTGCCGCCTCTCTAGTTATGGAACAGGGCGGAGGTTCTTTGACTTGCGGGAATCTCAGTTTCCTCATCTATACAGTGAGAATCGCCCCTACATTGTTAGGTTGTTGTGACAATCAAATGAGAGAACATGTACGAAGGCCCCAGAAGGCCGTGAAGCAGTGCGGACATGCATGAAATGAGACACCACATGGCAAGCATTTGGCGCCGTGCCTAGTATACAAGAAGAGCTCAGTAAATGGCATCTGCATAGGATGATGATGATAATAATGTCAGCTCTCTTTATCCTCCCTTATACTTTTCTTGGCTGCTTCATTAGAGATCGAGAAGCAATCGACATGTCCACGTTGTTTCTCCCGGGACGAGGCAGAGCGAAGAGAAGGGAGGAGAGGCCCAAAGAGTTCTGCAGGCAGAAAGCTGAGTCAAGGCTGGATTTTCCCCGAGGTCCCCTTGGCCTCCAGGTTTCCCCTTTCTGCCACTGGGACCTCCTCTGTGGTTTCCAGGGACCGCCTGGCAGGGCTGGCTTCTGCCTAGAGCCTGGGCCACCTTTGTTCTTTTTTCACATTTTGGGGCCGGGGAGGGTGGGGGTCTCTCCGGCAGCTGAACTGAAAGCCCAAAACACCAGGTCAAAAGAAAGGAGGGTGGTGGGGGAAGGAAAGCATGCAAGCCGATAATTTCCTCGAAGGATAAACATCCGATTTTTTTTTCCTCACCCAAAATAAACATGCTCGCCACAAGGAATTAAAAGCAGAAGAGGGGAGGATGTGTCCCGATTTGGGGCTGCTCTAGGAAGCTGACCGTCTATTTATCCTGGCCCTGGGCACTAACTGGAGCTGCCAATTACACTCCGGCATGGTGCGGTGGGGGACTGCGGGGAGAAGGTCCCACGGAGCAGGGGACCAGAGGGCCCCTCTGAGACTGCCTTCTGTGCCACTGCAAAGGGACACTTCCTTTTGCTTCTCACTTGAGGGCTGCTGGCAGGCCTGCCTGGCGGGGTGGAAGGGAGTGGGGAGGCCTAGCAGTCCCTCCTGCCTGAGCCTCCTTTTGCCCTGGGCTGGCATCGAATGCCCTTCTGGAACACAAGGATTTGGTGCCCACCACCTGGGCTGGGAGCTGAATCCCCCAGTGATGGCAGCATCTTTCCATCTCCGCCTTTGCAAACTCAACCTCCCACCCCATTGCGTTCTTCAGATCCTGCCATGAACAAAAACTGTCCAGCTACTTAAAAGTGTGCCAAGGGGTCAGCCAGGGCCCCCTGCCTTTCCGCTCACGTGCGGCATGACTCTAGGAAGGTAATAACCCTGTGCCCAGCTGCGGCTGTTCCTTTCATCTGGGGATCTCAAAGCACTTTGCACACGTGAGTCACCAACGTTGCTGCACCCTCGCCAAGGAGAGGGGGTTATTAACTCTTGGAGGGAAACTGAGCTGAACGGGGTGTAGAGGGCGGCTGAGGAGCCACAGTGCAGGCTGTGAATGAGACTGTAGCAGAGACGGGTCTCCAGGGGGATCCTTGGGTGGGAAACCCAAGAGGCCATCAGAGGAAGTCCAGGGAAGTTAGACGCAGAAATCCTTTCCTTGCAGATACCAAGGAAGCTCTTCATAGCTTTCTAAAAGCATACACCTGATTATGTCACCTGCCCCTCCAATCTATTTATTATCCAATGATTTCCCACTGCTTTGGGGATACAACCCAAACCTTTGTTACAGTGACAAAGACTGGCCTGGCCTGGCCTCTGCCCACCTGTCTACCCGTTCCCTCCCTTGCACACTCCGCTGAAGCCACACTGCCGCGCTTTCATTTCCGAGAGGGTGCCACACACTGCCCTGCCAGCCACAGCAGCTTGGAGGAGTTTTGGAATGTTCTGTATCCCTGTCTCCACTCACTGGCTAACCTCTACCCTGCTTTTCAGCCCTGAAGGTAAAGACCACTTCCTCCAAGAGGCCCTGCCCTGGCCTTCATCCCTCCCTCTCCATCAGCAATCGGGTCCCCTTTGCCCTCATGGCCCTTAACACAGTTTGTTGTAATTTGCTTGTGGCGTTTGATGGACATTTCCCTCCCCTGCCGCACTGGAGATCCACGAGGCAGGTACCATGCCGTGTTTGTCCTGTCCTCCTCAGCCACCCATGAGACCCCAGTGCCTAGCAGAAGGCCAGGCACACGGCAGGTGCCAACAATACTTGTTGAATGAAAGGTGTTGCATGTCAGAGCTGGAAAGGTCCGTGACAATACAACAGCCGCCCTCTGCCGCTTCTTCCTGCCTTAGTGTCACAGCTGAGGGAGCAGAACTTAAGAGGGGATAAGTGATGTGCCCGAGGTCACACAGTGACTTAGTGACAGCTCGGGCCTAGGGATCCCCACCTCCTTCCCGTCCACCTAGCCCCCCATCCTCCCCTGCCCACTTGCACTACGGGGAAGCCCTGATCCCTGGTGCTGGACATTGGTCCCTTTCCTCTTGTTGGTTTTCAAAGGAATACAGGTTAGGAAGCAAAATACCAAGCCCTGGATGATTTTCTTTTTAATTTGGAAGAGAAGGGGGTCTAGACCCAGGGGGGTTGCATGCCCAGACCCTCGCTGGTAGGCAGTGCGGGGACACATGCCTGGAAGGCGGAGCCTGCAGCCTGGCAGGCAGTTATCTCTGTTTGGGGTTGTTCTTGGACTCACTGTCCCCCTCCTCCGGCAGCCTCGTCGCCCTGTGAGTCCTGGTAGTTCTGGGTTATGAACTGGGTGCTTGCTTCGGGTTCGCTCAGATGGAAGCGGCTCAGAAATCTGTCCAATTTCCAAGAGCCTGGAGGGACGAACAGACCACAGGGAGTGGTGAGAGAGGGCAGTGGACTCGAGAGCTGGCAGGGGCCGGAGACTGAGGCTGGCTCCAGCAGCGTGGAGACAGCAGGTGGTGCCCTCAGCCCCCCGATGTGGGGGACACCGTGCCTGGGGGCGCCTCTGGCTTCTGTGGCAGAGGCAGCTCCTGGATGTCAGCAGAGCCCCCGAGCAGTGGCAGAGTTGCCCGCTCCCAGGAGGATGACGGGACCGAGAGCCGTGCAGCGGGGCTCCTTGCCTGAGGCTGGGTGGAGGTGCAGCACTGGGTGCTGGCGGGGAGCTGGGCTCTGGAGGAGCCAGTCGGTGCCCAGGTTGGAGGGCTTCCTGCTCAGGGAGAAGGCACAGGCGTGTTGGGGGAGGCACATCTTCTGGGGCAAGTGTGAACAGGCCTCGTGGCAGGGCAAGGAGGGCACATAGCCCAGGGCATGAGGAGAGGCTGAGGGAAGTGGTCAGAGGCATATTCCCACGCTCTTGTTTCCCAAACCCCAGGTCTCAGGCACCTTGGGAAGATGGCTGCCTGGAAAATGCAGGATGTCCCGTTAAATCTGAGTTTCAGATAAATAACAAATAGTTTGTTTGGCAAGTGCGTCCCACATATACAGCATACTTACACTAAAGATTTTTTTATTGTTTATTGGAATTCAAATTTATCTTTTAATTTTTTTTGTTTTGTTTGCTCGTTTTGAGATAGGATCTCGCTCTGTCACCCGGGCTAGAGGGCAGTGGTATGATCATAGCTCACAGTAACCTCGAATTCCTGGGCTCAAGCTATCCTCCTGCCTCAGCCTCCCTCCTGAGCAGCTGCGACTACAGGTGCATACAACCATGCCCAGCTAATTTGTTTATTTTTAATTTTTTTTTTTTTTTTTTTTTTTGTAGAGATGGGGTCTTGCTATGTTGCCTAGGTTGGTCTTAAACTCCTGGCCTCAAGCAATCCTGCCTTGGCCTCCCAAAGTGCTGGGATTATAGGAATGAGCCACTGTTCCTGGCCTAGAATTCAAATTTAATAGGGATCCTGAATTTTTTGTTGTTGTTCTATTTTTGCTAAATCCAGCAACCTTTCCTGGGTGGAGAGAGTGCATGGGGAAGAGCCTACCCAGAGCATAGCTAGGCAGTAGCCATTGTGCCCGGGGCCACCAACAGAGACCAGTCATTGCTGATACCCAGTCAGAAAAGGGCAAGGGGCTGGTCGCCTGGAGTGCTTCTCAGAGTCTCCCCTGGGACTCCCAGACCACCCGCCCACCCACCTGTCATCCCCCTTCTGCATTCACCACCCTTTTCATGACAATGGCAAGCCCACTGGGGTGTTCTTCCCTCTCAGTGGCTGTGGGCATTTCAAAGACATCCTCAAGGAGAGGACAATTTTTAATCCAAAAACCAAACCCACAATGACAATAATGCAAAAATAAGAATAATATTTAACAGCAACAACACACCCATGACAGTGCTCCTGTGTGCCAGGCACTGTTCTAGGCGTTCTACACATATTAATTCACTCTATCCTCCCTCCACTCCCAGCAAGGGGGAAGCGTTACTCTCCCTGGTTCACAGATGGGATGGCAGAGGCACAGGGGCAGGGATGGGTTCCCTCAAATCCTGTCTGACTCAGAGACTGCAGGGCTGGAAAATACGGGGTTCCAGGAGTTCTCGTGCAGAAAGGGTGGCCGAGGCGCTGGCAGAGCCTGTCCTGTTGGATGGTGCACTGATGGCAGCGGGGTCCCACTAGGAGGCTTTGTGTCCTTTCTGAGGCACCGTGCCTGGCTGGAGCCTCTGCACCCTGGGGGCCTGGCTGGCTGGAAAGGAACTAGGGTATCATGAGCCTGGGAAAGTGTGTGTGTCCGCATGAGTATGCACATGTGTGTATGTGTGTGTGTGTGTATGTGTGTGTGTGCGCACATGCGCGTGCACATGCCAGGAAAAGGGCCTGTGGGTGAACTGGTGTGTGGCAGGCACGGGGACAAGGGGGCCTTCCCCACTGAGTAGGGCAGGAAGGAACCTGGGTGGCAAGGAAGGAATTGAAACCTGTCACGGGACCAGAGCAAGCTGGCGGAAAGAAATCCCCTGTGCCCTGAGAGACCTGCTTTGAGCCTCTGAGTTCACAGTATCCCGGGGGCCTCACGGCTCCTTCCTGCTGCCATTTCCAACAACCCTGTGGTCCCAGCCCTGTGCTGGCCAGCCTCCCGCCACCTCCTCTGCTGGCTAGGCAGTGACCCCGTACACCCCCTGTTTCCTGCCACAGAGGGCAGGAGGAATTGACCCTGTGCAAGTTCTAGAAGGAAGAGGGGTGAGTCAGGCCCTCAGGGGTTGTGTGGAGAGAGATGGGGAGCTGGGAGGCTGTGGCTTCTGTGGTCATGGCTTGGAGGAAAGCCCCTTCCTGTATGGCACTGCTCTGTCCCTGAGCTGCAGAGCCCGCTGCCATGCAGGAAGAGGGCGGCGGTGCTGCTGTCTGTGTCCCAGCTGCTACACTTGTACCTTGGACCCGCCCGGGCTGGGCTCTTCCTGGGACGAGGGCAGGGGCGGTACACACACTTCAGAGGCCTGTGGTGGGAGGAGGAAGTTGTCTGCTGTGTGTCCTGGGCTGCCTGGCTGGGGCTCTGAGGCCTGGTCTCAGGGCAGGGATGCCCCTATGATGATGTGCATGTTGGTGCCTGCACAACCATAGGGGGCGCCATTCCCATCCTGCATAACCAGATGCAGCGGTGCTGCCCACAGGCCATTCTCTCGCTAACTGCTCAGTGCTGATGAGGAAGACGGTGAGATGAAACATGTCAGGTGTCAGAGATGTGCCAGACGGGGGCCCAGGGAGAGGCAGTTGACCTTATCTGACGCTTTCTGAGGTTCTGAGCCACACTGTGTACCTGACCTCCTACTGGACACAGGCGGGGATGAATCTCCCCTGTCTTTAGCAGCTGGGAAAGGGGCTCCCCTTCAGAGCTTCAGTCCCAGGGACTGGAGGACAGAAGGAATGTTTGGGAATGGCCCTGGGGCAGGTCTTGAGAGCCACCCTGTCTACCCTTAGCTTCCCAAATCTGCGGGGCTGGCTTTCTGCCACTTGGTGTGGTTCACCACTTGCGACTGGACAGCTCCACTGGGCTGAGAGGGCTAAACAGGCGGCCAAGAGCTGAGAGGGTGGCGCTTCCCCTTGCCCAGTCCCTGGCCCCCGAGCAGGACTCGGGAGAACGGGGTGGACAGCGCCTCTGCTGGGATGTGCAAGCTGTGATCTCAGGCCGCCGCACAGGCCCCTCAGACCTCCTGGGGCCTCTGCCAGGCATGGGAGACTGCCTCATTTTGTCTCCCGCCCGCAGCGAGTTTCTGATGTGACACAATTAACACTGGACTAATAACAAACAGGCCTTTCGCAAGGTGGCCTTGGCCAGCAGCATGACTTCGCAGTCTGGGTCCCTGGAAGACAGGCCCTGTCCCCAGTGACACCCCCAATTCCCTTCGGCAGGCCCACTCTTAAGACTTTCCAATAGGATAGGACAGCGCTTCCTAGGTGGCCCTGCTCCTACCAAGGGACATTTCCCACCTGACTGGTCACTTGGTCCTCAGTGGGCCCTGAAGTGTTTCTCTCTCAGCCTGGGAAGTGGCAGAGGGAAGCTGAGGGAGGGGACCCCCAGCTCCTTTGTCCTGCTGGTCCCCACTCAGGAGTCCCTGAGGTCGACCTCCTTCCCTGGGGCAGTCTCTGCAAGGGTGGGGCACCCCCTTGAGTGGCCCTGTTCCCCTTGGGCAGGTGACCCGCATCTCACCAGGGTGACCACCCTCTTCCCTGGCCTTGCTCTACTCTCCCCTTGGGCAGGGACACTGTTGCCTCTTGTCAGGGGATGGTGGCCCTGAAGAAAAAAACCAAAAATTCCACTCCGGCCTAATAACCACCCCGCGGAGGGCCGGCTGAGGCCTGCAATTTGTCTGGTCCGTCGCGGGGCTGGCGGCATTGATAGAAGCGCTGATGCCTTTCTGCCGAGATTAATGATGTCCTGGTGGTGGTAGGCGGGAGGCCTTAGCCTTTTATTTTTTGTGCCATTAAATGACATCCAGAGACTTCCACTCAGGAGCTGAAAAGCCCTCGTTCCATCACATCCAATTATGCCTGGAGGATATGTGCTGAGTGGCTGATCCTGCTGGCTCTGGAGGCTTTGGGGCAGTGGGGACCACTCTGGCTTCGGGGGCGTCAGAGGCCATGGGGACTGGGGGGTTCTGGGTGGTGAGGGTTCCCTGTCTGCTCAGAGGACTGGTGAGAGGAAGCTGGTTCCAGTCACCCCCTGGGGCCCTTCCTCCATCCTGAGGCTGGGGGTGGGCGAGGGAAGTGGCCAGAGGAGGGGGGTACTGACAGTTATCAACTCCAATATTTGGTAGTGGTGACGGGTGGCCGGAGTTCTGGGTTTGCAGTTTCTCCAGGGTCTGCTCGATATTGCTGGGGATGGCTGATGTCTGGCGGGACTGGGGCATGCTTCTGGAAGAGGTCTGCCGGGAGCCTGCAGAGTTTCCTGGCAGCTTCTCGCCTGGGCGCCTGTGTGCGAGTTACCCAGTATACCCGGCTGGGCGGCTGCCAGGTCCCCAGCTTCACCCGCTGGGCCAGGGGGGTGGGGCCCTGCTAGGCAGAAGAGAACCTCTTGCCGCCAGCCCACACAGGGCTGGAGCTGCTGGGGCTGGGCCAGGTGAACCACCATGGGAGGTCACGGGGTGGGCTGTGTGTGTTTGTGTCTGTCTGGGTCTCGCGCTGGCAGGAGGCAGCTGAGGGCTGGGGGGCTGGCCTCCAGGCAGGGCCCCCTTTCCTCTCAGGCCTCTTCCCTCCACACGTCCTGACACCACGCGCGCCCCCTCACTGCCACCAGGCCAGGTGGATTTCCTCGAGTCCTTCCCAGCCTTCCCTCCGCGTCAGCCCTCCCCCATCAGTGTGGCGTGCAGCTCTGCTGTTTGCGTGCCCTTGGCACCACGACACCTTTGTCTCTCTCACCCATGGAGCCCTGCAGCCCTCAGAAGCCACAAGCAAGACTTAAGCCCCACTGTGTGGCAAGTCTCTGCCCGTCTCTCCTCTCTGACCCCTGTGGGTGGGTGGCTCCCCGTGGTACTGGGGAGTGGCTAATGGCTGCCTGGCCCCGAACCCCAGAGGAGGACCCTTCTCTGTCCTTCCCTTCCCATTTTGTAAGGAGCCAGCTTTCCCTCTGAAGGCCCTCAGGCTGCCCCTGTGAAGTGGTGACCGGAGCCTCTCTCACCCGTTAGTTCCAGGCACTGTGGCACCGTCCTGGGCTCATGGTCTTGCAGTGGCTTTTGGCGCAAGTGTCCGCATGTCGTTGCTTGGAACGGAGAGGGGATTTCCCTGGCTTGCTCGCAAGAGGAGCGTGAGGCCAGCTTGTGACACATCTGGGCGAGGTGGCTGAGGTGTGGCATGGCGCAGACCACAGCACCAAGAGGCTCAGCCACAGCCTTCGCCAGGGAAGGGGGAGTGTAGGGGGACCACCCTGGGTGGCTGCTGCTGCCGGCCAAGGAGGCCCAGGACGGCAGGATGCAACTGCCCCCTGTCTTCCCTACACCAGCCTACACAGTCTTGTGGCCCAGGTCAGGAGAGAGGAAGTGTGGGTGAGGTGGTGACAGGAGCCATGAGCCCTTCCATGGAAGTCAGAAGAAAACGGATTGGTTATTAACCGTGGACCCCTGATCAAACATGCCACTCACTGTTCTGCTCCTCAGTTTCCTCATTTGCCCTGAGGGTGGTGATGGCTGCTGTCCCACCCACCTGGCAGGGTTGGCAAGGTGAAGGTGGGGGAAGGCTGGTGGAGAGGTCCCAACTGCCCTGCTGGGACAGGGAGGACGTGGATGCAGACTGTCACTGTGGGCACAGTGCTCACGCAGCAGGCTGCCTTTTCAGGTACCCAGGGAAGCTGACGTGTGCTTGTGACCGTGGGGGTATGAGAGCATGCAGGTCTGTGTGTGTGAATGGCTCATGGCTGTGCATACGTAGGTGTGTCCCCCACACAGACACTGACTGTGAAAGCCCACAGCGGGCTGGTGCAGGGACAGGTGAGAAAAGGGGATGAAAACAGAGGCAAGCACTTCTCTCGAGGGATGTATGGTCTCGTGGCAGAGGGAGGCCCAACATGAGTGGAAAATGACTGAGTGTATGAAAGAGATCAAAGCAGACATCGGGGGCTTGCAGCAAATGCGACATTGGGTGGGGCGGTGGGGGGGGGACGGTAGGGACTGAGCAGAGACAGCCCTGTGGGCTGTTCTGGAGACTACGGTGGTGGAAGGAGCCTGACAGGTGCACAGAGGTAGGTGAAGCATGGCATGTCTGGGGAGGGCAGGACGGGATGCCCAGATCAGCCTTGGTGACCAGGAGCTCAGGGGCATCCTGGCAGCTTAGGGTATGGAAAGGTGTGCGGCATGAGGTGTGAATGAAATCTGCTGGTGGTGGCCTCTTCAGGCATATCCCCACGGTGGCATTCAGTGGGTCGGTCTCGAATCATGGGTTAGCCAAGAGGCCGGATCCTGGGCTTTGGGCGTGGGTTGGGCGGTAGGGGTTTGTGCTGGCTGGGGGGTGGTGTTCACGTGGAACCAGAGGGTGGCAGTCCAGAGTATCACAGGCATGAGTGAACGCATGCTCCAAACTTAAGAAGGCAAACTGTGGCCTTTGGGACAAATGTTGGTGACACTGGGCCAGCCCTTATCCGAGGCACCAGTTCAGGCTCTTTTGGCTTCAGGGGTCTTCTCTGCCTCTCCTCCACCAGGGACCTGGTGAGCCGTCTGAATATTTCCCCAACTCTGTGGGCCCCACCCAGCCACAGAGCTCCACCAGGGTGGCACCACACATCCAGGAAAGCGGGGACACCGCGCTGTGGCTCACTTCTGTTCCGCCGCCTGTCTGCTACAGAAGCTCCTCTACCTGGCTCCTGCAGGCTGACCTCTCCCCTCCAATCTCTAGAAGCTGTTCCTGCCTGTTTCCCCGGGGGACATGAGCGGTTGGTTACACCACACCCCCGCATGACACCCTGTTCCCTCCATGAATCCTTTCCCATGGAGACAAAACTAGACCAAGGCAAGTCCTGGGGCCTGTGTTCATTGGCAGTCCCTGTGCCCAGCCTCCTGAGCATCAGTCAGCCTGGGGCTGCATGAGTCCCCAGGCACTGCCCAGGGGCTTCAGAGAGCGCCAGGCCCTTGGTGTTATGACGCTGTACGAGGGGCTGCCAGTTCTGCTTTCGCAGTCACCCCTGGGTTCAGCCCCACCAGGCCGGGCTCTTGCTGTCCCACATCTGGGTGCCTCTGGTGGCCTCCTGTCCTCTTGTTTGGGTCAGCTCTGCCCACAGCTACACTTAGTTCTTTCTAAAGAGTGACTTTTATGTGCTGCTTCTCTTGTGAACAATCTCTGATGGCTCCCCACAGTCAACCCACCGAAGCCACTCCTGCGCCAGGCTTTCCAGAACTTTCAAAACCTTCCTGTTTTCTCCTCTCCTCCCCATTTTCTGACTTAAAAAAAAATGAATCTGTTCATCTGTGGTTTCCCCAACCCAGAGCTCCCTCCTCCTTCACTCAAGGATTCAAATCTCTTTACCTGGGGCCCAACCCGTGCCCCACCTCTGCCACCGCCCTGTGGGCCACAGAGATCTGTAGATCTGTTTAGAGCCAACCCCTCATTTTCTAGATGAGGAAACTGAGGCCCAGAGAGGTTAATTGATTTGCCCCAAAGTCATATCACTAGCTAGAGAATGGAAGTCAAGGTTTCCTCACCCTGCAATAAAACACCTTCCTGCCTCCCCGGCTGAAGAGGGTGTGCTGTCCTGGAGGGAACGGAAGGGATCTGTCCCTGAGTTCACCACCTGACGATCTCCACTTGTTCTTACGGTCAGACACACACAATTACGTGTGTAATGACAAGCTGCTCTGTGCTGCTATTTAATCAGTTCCAAAGTAGACTATAAGCCCCTTTAGGGCAGGGACAATCCCGGGCGCCCTCTCTGAAGCTCCTAGCACAGCACTGGTGCGTGGAAGGCATCATATGGTGGAAAAGGCACCTTGGGATCATTTTCCTGCCTTTGTTTCTGGCAGCAAACCAAATGGCACAGGAGCCAAAGGGACTCTGCCCAGCTGCAAGTCCAGGGTCCTAAGTTTTCCCATGGATGAAAGGTGGGTTGTAGCGGGCGGGGAAGGGCATAGGAATTGTGGTTTTCAAAAAGATCCAAAGGGATAAACCATGGGTTCCAGGCCCAATAGGATTCCAGCTTCCTTGCCTTGTCACTAGCATCCTGGGACGGTGGGTCAGCCCTTTGCTGGTCACTTGGGCCACTGTGTTTTCTGGGGGTTAGGCTACGGTCTAGCCTTAGGAGTCCTGGCGTGCAGAGTTGGAAGTGTCTTTGGTGTACACAGCTCCTTCCTTCCCTTTTGCTGTGCTTGGTGTCACCTGATGCTCTGTCCTTCCCCTCCATCCTGCCCTCAGCAAGCACTTGCCTGTGTGGAGGCTCCTGCCCAGGGCACTGGTATTGTGCCCCTGAAGCCTACCAGTGGGCCTTGGGATCCCACGGGAGGGGGAATGTTATAGGCTGAGATGCTGCCATCTTTGGCACCGCCAGCCAGGCGATAGATCAGCAAGGTGCTGGGGACACCTGGCGAGGGATCACTGGTGGAAAGGTGGCAGCGGCCCAGCTCCCAGGGTGGCCTGGAGCCCTCTGTGATTGGAGGCCCCTGCTCGGCACACGTCGAAGGGCTCCTTTGCTCAACCTGTGCCTTTCTGGGCTCCTCGCTCTCTTCCTCTGGGGCCTGGGGCCTCAGGGCTGTAACAATACCTGCACTGGCTTCCCAGTGGGTGGGTGTTGATTGGGGTCATTGGGTGAGAGGCAATGGCTGACGACACCCACCTTTCCACTCACCTTCCCACCAGCCTGCGGGATGTGCTCTTTATACTCTCAGATTGGCATGGGTGCCTCTACGTTATCGTCCCTGCCCTCACACTGGGGAAGTGACAGAGTGCACCCGGATTACTTTATGTCCCATTTTCCTGAAGAGAAATCTGAGGTTCAGACGGGGGTGGGGGCATAGGGGGCATGGCTCACACAGGGTCACCTGTGGTGTGTGGCGGTGGCCCTGGTCGCAGGAGGACCAAGGCCACACAGGCTGGGCTTGCCATTAGGAGGCAGTGGGAAGTGGGTCTGCTCTGCGGCTGAGGGGGGCTGCTCAGAGAAGCCCGTAGGGGTACGGCTGGAGAAGTGTGCCCCACCGCTGAGATGGCACAGGCGGCTCCAGCAATTAGCGACCAATGAAGCCAGACCGGCAGGGTGGCATTCCAGGGCCCTCTTGCCCAGATCAGACTCAATTACAGGGTACAATACCCTGCGAGGAGTTCTGGGGTAGCTGCCTGCACATGCCATGCCAGGTTTCGGGGGTGCTTCTCTTCCTGGCTGCAGTAGCTCCCTTTGGGACCCTGCCTTATATCTAGATGGGCTAAAGCCACCACTTTGGTCTAGGGGACTGACTTCTTGGGGGAGAGACCACATCTGACGCCCACTTCTCCCTCAGGGCATTCAGTCCAGTTCGCTCCCCAAAAGCACCGCCCTTTGTGTCCAGTCTCCAAAGCTCATGGGTTGGGGCCAGGGTTCTGGCTTCTCATGAATCCATGAAGCTTCCATCGGTTTCCCCCCAGATTCTCCCTGGCTGTGGCATGAAGGACAGGCAGGCCTTACCTCGGGTCTTGTTTTCTTTCCGAGGCAGTGAGATGACCCTTCCTTCCTGAAGGTAGACAAAGAACTGGTAGCGATGGAAGCCAGTGTGGGCCGGTGGGGAGGGAGGTTGGTAGCCTATGGGTAGAAAAAGGAGAAAGGTGGGCACCATGTCCCACACTACCCAGGGTGGAGCTCTGTGTTGTCCCATGGTCACTGCTGACAGTCCTGGGGTCCCAGCTGAGGGCTTGCCCCATGCAAGCCATGAGATACCTTCAGCATCCTCATTGAGGAAGTACATATTTTGAGGGGTGAGCATGGGAGCAGAGGTGGTCCAAGGGGAAATGCACTGGGCTGGCTGGAAGGTCCTGGGCGCTGGCGCAGCTCCCAGGCCTTTCTGGGCCTATGGGTGTTGGTATTGTCCTGTTTTTGCTTTAGTCTGTCCTGCTGGATTTCCTGCCTCAAGAGAAACCCATCTTCCTCTGTGAATATGTTTGGCAGTGGATTCTTATTTATTTTTTCAGCATTTCCTTATGAACTCAATCTCCAAAGAAGTCAATTTCTTGGCTGCATCTGGGGGATCTGGAAGTGGTTACGGGGGTGGGTGGGACGGGGTTCAAAGGTTTGATCATGGGAGCTGTAGGAGCTGGGCACTCGGGGCACTGGGGAGAAGGCCCGTGTCCCACCCTTCCCTTCCCCTCCAGGATGCTGGCCTTTCCTAAGAGAGAAGTGGGGGGACACCTCTTATCCTTCGCCCATGTCTATGCAGGAGAGGGGGTGGCTGGCCCAGCCTGGGTCTTGCAGGTTGGGCCTCGTTCCAATCCTGCTTTGCCCCTTCCTACTTCCCTTCCTTCCCTCTACCTCCCTTTCCAAGGAGAGCTAGACTGCAGGCAAGACTCTCCCTGCGGTGGGTGGGGAAGCAGTGTTTGCAACAAGGATGCTGCTGGGAGCGGGTATCGGTGCCTTACGGCTGTGTCCCCTCCTCCCCTCTCCTGACTGCTAAACAAAAGCTCGACTTGCTGCTTGGAGCTGTTGGAAGTGTCCTCATCATGCACTTCCGGCCACCATGGCCTCCAGCATGCCAACAGCCGGGGGAATTCCTGACTATTCATCTTTCCCTGAGTCTTGGATAGCAGATCAGTTGTTGTTGTGTGTGTGTGCGCGTGCACGCGCTCAGAGTGAGAACAGAGCAGGGTGTGCCGGGAGCTGTGTGAGTTTGTGTGGTTCAGGGTCTACACCCGGGGTAGATGTGTGCATGAGAAGAGCTGCTGTGTAAACGGCCTGACGCTGTCTTGGAGGGTCTCTGTTGGTGCATGTGTGTAAACGTGGGTAAATCGGTGTTTCTTCCCAAACGCTGCCTGTGCAGAGAAAGACCTCCGGGCATGGTGGGTGCTGGAGAGTCTCCCCATGTGCTTGGGTGTGGGGGACGGGTGTGACGGGTCAGTTTTCAGGGTGGCCGCTGGGCATGTGGGCTGCCGAGTGCACCTGAGGGTGGGCATATTCCACGCTGCCAAGCCTGGCGACCACAGTTCTGTGCAGACACATCCGAAGTGAGGACTCACAGGTTCTGTCATCGGGAATCCATCTTGGGGGAGAGGGGGACCGACCCCCTCGCTAGGGCTCTCCTGAAGAACCCCCCCTTGGAAACCTCCAAAGGTAGAAACATGAGGCCTGAGGAGGACAGGAAGGGGTTCCCACGTGCTGAGCCACTGCCCTGGGCCAGGCCCTGGGCTACTGCCTCCACATACGATGTCTCTTTTATATTCCCCACAGCTCAATAAGGAAACTGAGGCTCTGAGGGGTTAAACCAGGCTGACAGGAAGTATTTGTGCTGGGATTTGAACCCAGGCCTTTCTGTACCCAAGCCCATTCTGCCTCCCAAGACAAGGAGGCTGGGTTTGGTGCCCAGGCCTTTGCCAGGGGCCAGCTCAGCATCTGAGAATCCCCTCCAAGTTGAGTCAAGGGCATATTCGGGGTGGGGGGAGAGGAGCTGAGAGGGAGAGGAGCTTCGGGGAGGACGGGGTCAGGAAGAGGTGCAAGCTCTCCAGGCAGACAGACCCCTGCATTGAGATGCCGGCTCCACCCCTCACTAGCCAGCTGGGTGACAGGTGCAGGTTGGTCTATCTGTGCCTCAGTTTCATTTTCTTTAAAATGGAGACACTGACGACAGTGATCTTAAGAGGCAGTTGTGGAGATGAAATCAGGGCATACAGGAAACTCTTGGGCTGGGTTTGCACATTATGAAGCAGCAATATGAAGTTATATTGTCAAGATTTTTTTGTGTGTATAGAGACAGGGTCTTGTTCTGTCACCAAGGCTGGGGTGCAGTGGTGTGATCGTAGCTCACCGCAGCCTCAAACTCATGGGCTCAAGCGATCCATCTGCCTCAGCTTTCTGAGTAGCTGGGAGGTGTGCATCATGACACCCAGCTATTTTTTTAGACGTTCTTGTAGAGACAGGGTCTCGCTGTGTTGCCCAGGTTGGTCTCTAACTCCCTGGGCTCAAGCTGGGACTATAGGCATGAGCACTGCACTGGCCTGCATTCAGGATTCTTGGGTTGTCACTGATGCCCTGGCTGGGGGCAGGGGTGCTGGAGGGTCTTACCTGTTATTTCCTGGCCCTGAATCTTCCCTTTCTTCATGTCGGAGCCCTGAAGTAAGAGACAGACAGGGCCGTGGGTTACTCCTGGGCACCCTTTGTCCTCCCGAGGGAGTGGGATTGAAGGGGGGAGGATATACCGCTGCTCCTGGGAGAGGTGGCTGTGGGGTTTTGGACTGGGTACTTCAGGGGGTTGACGGAGGGGGACAGACATAGATGTTGCTGAGGGTGGCCTGGAGGTGAGGATGGATCACCCAACCTCTGGGCAGTCCTGATATCACTCTTCCCAAAGGGCTGCCCTGTGATCACCATCTGCGCCTGAGACTGGGCACAGGACATAACTGTCAACCTGTGGGGTCTGGCTGGATCTAAGGGAGGTGCTGACGGTTGCTAATCAGCCCATCCTCTCAGGAGGGAGGACTCAGCTTTCTCTGGAGCCTTTAGAACTGCAGTTCCCCAGCCCCAGGTTGCGGATGGGTACTGGCCTGTGGCCTGTTAGGAACCGGGCTGCACAGCAGGAGGCAAGCTGCAGGAGGCGAGCTGTGGGTGAGCCGATGAGTGAAGCTTCATCTGTATTTACAGCTGCTCCCCATCGCTTGCATCGCTGCCAAACTTTCCTGAAACTAGCCCCTGCCCCACCCCACACCAGGTCCATGGAAACTGATCCCTGGTGCCAAAAAGGTTGGGGACCGTTGCTTTAGAACATTAGGCCAGTGGCCGTCTGAGCAACTGGGAGAGGAAGGTAGGCAGGAGGAGCTTCTGCCCTCACCCCCTCCAGCTGACTCAGCCCACAACACTGGGGTAGTTTCTTTGGCCACTGGGATAGCCTCAGTTTCCCTCCTTCTCTTCCTTCCCTTCCCCACCCCCCTCAGTGTCTGTGGGATAATGAGGTGATCCTGGGGGCGGGTGTTAATTATTGTTTGTGCAGGACTGGGAGATGCTCGGATGAAAGGGACTGGAGCCAGGGCCCTGGGTCCGTGCCAGGGCTTGGGGCCCCAGGCCATGCCAGGGACCCTGCGGCCCCTAGGTGTGAGGTTTTATAGCCTTAATGAAGGTGATTAGTGTGGCTCTTAACTGAGTCTGCCAACACTTAACTGTGCCCTGGCCACCTTTCCCCCAAGCCTCCCAGAGGTGCTCATGGGATGGTGGGAGGATGGGGAGAGTGTGAGCAGTAGAGGAGGGGCAGGCTAGGGGAGGGTGAGACCCAGCCCATAGATTACAGCTTACTTTTTACAGAACTAGAGCCCAACTTGCCCATCCCAGAACCCACTTGGTCTGTTCCCCTTTGGACTGCAGCTTGTCTACTACTGTGCTCACTTTGGGCCTCTTTGCCAGATACCCCTTTCCCCGGGCTGGTTCCTACAGGGCCAGGTCCCCTCTGGCCAGGAGAAAGGGCAGGAGGCTGGGCAAGGGTGGATGCCTCCCCCATGAGAGCCCCTCATACTTTGTTTTCTTCCCCGATGAGGGTGAGATCTCTTCATTTTAACATCCTAGCCTTCCTCCCTAACCCCACTGTCAGGTCAGGAACATCCGGGAAGCCTTTGAATTCAGTGCCCCCCTTGTCCCCAAGAGCGGTGCACACCTGACTCTGCCTTGCCCCTCTCTCGATGTAGTGCCCTGCCCCCTGCCCCCCCCCCCATTTCTGGCCTGGCAGTACCCAGGGCTGGCATTGTCCAGGCCCAGGTGTGGCTGGCATTGTCCAGGCCCAAGTGTGGCCAGGGGCTGAGAGGCTGGGCCTGGGATAAGGACATGGCTTGGGGGGTGGAAGTCCCTCTTCTCCATGCCTATCTCCTCTTCTGGGACAGGAGATGAGGACCCAACAGAGACCTAGCAGCCCTGCTCTCCCCAAACAGCTCTTTTGGCCACCCTAGCAAGACACGGTCCAGGGGCTGCGCCCAGGGAAGCCCGGCCCAGCTCCAGCTGCGCCGGGCTCCTCAGCCTCCCCTCCTTCCTTTCCAAGTCAGCCCAGCCAGCGGTTTGTTTAAACAAAACAATAGCAACCTAAGCTGGCTGTTTCTTCCCAATTCCCCAGGGGCTTGGGTCCCACCCAGAGAGAGGCCGGGGAGGGGGAAAGGGTGGGGACTGGGGCCGGCAGGTCAGGAGTCGGTTCGTGCTGAGCTGAGCCGAGCTGGCTGGAAAGTCTGACGTGCTGGCTGGGTCAGGGTGGGAAGGCTGTCCTTCCCCTCCCCTCCACTCCGGGGAGCTTGTGTTCATCAGCAGGGGCCAGCTTGGCAGAGACTGTGCAAACCCTTGGGTTGGGCTAATGACATGAGCCACCAGACCTCCCACCACTGTCCCCAGCAGCCCCACTGACCCTGTGCTTGACTGGACACTGATGGCACTTAGGCTGTTCAGCAACCCCCCCCCCATCCCCATTTGGTCCTATGCACAGGCACTGCTCCTTATTGGAGGGAAGTACCTGAGGGGATACGGTGGCAGAGGCCCCACCCTCTATGTGGTCAGTGTGGCCATTCTTTACTCAGGTTGAAAATTGGCTAAGCTCCTGTCGGCCATAGCCCTCCCTCACTCGCCAGCCCTAGGGGGGGCTTACATTTCTACCATAAAATCACACCTGGTAGGGACCTTAGAAAACTAAATTCTAAAAGGTGAGAAAGTTGGGCTCCAAAGAGGTCAAACTGCTTGTCCCGAGCCACACTAGCCTCGAGAGGAAACATCACACAGTGTTCAAAGAGGAAGGAGCCCTATACTCCAAGGCCTTTGAGACAGGCTAGCTCAAGGTCTCGTGCCTTTTGACCTCAGTGCTGTCCTGTGATCTTTCTGTGACATCGCAACAAACTCGTTTCTCTGGGAGGCACCAATACTAAAATACATAGATATTATCTGGAGGGCCGGGGCTGCAGTGGAAAAGGGACCCCCCCCATATCAGCTCTTCTAAAATACCTTCATGGATTAGAATATCACATCCAACCTTCGGTCACCCTAGAAAGCTACTCTGTTGGGTGGATGAGATTTGGGTAAGTCTCAGGAGGTAAGAAGGGGAATCCGTAGCCCAAGGCACTGCCCAGAGTTGCTGGGCCGGGGAAGTGCCCTTCGGGGGCGGGGTACAAGCCCAGCATTCGAGGACCACCGATGCCACACCTGTGGGGTCTGAGCAGAGGCCGGCTTTGGAAGGAGACCCTGCAGGATGGAAAGGACCGCTGAGAGCTCTGCCACACCTTGGGCTTCCTCCCCTCCAACCTGCTGCCTCTCCCCGGCCCACTTGGCCTCCAGGTGTGCTCGGTCCTCTTTTGGATGGGTCGGGCATAGACCAAACCTCCTTCCCCTTACTATAGCTAAGACATGCCGACATTTTCAAAAGGAACTTGTCTAAATGCTAAGGTTAGAAAAGGAAATACAGTTGGCTCCTGAACAACACGGGTTTGAACTGTGCGGGTCCACTTATACACAGACTTTTTTCAACAAAAGTCACATTGAGTGTGTCTGTCTCTCCTGCCTCCCCTTCCACCTCCTCCACCTCTGCCACCTCTGTCACCCTGCCACCAACGACTCCTCTTCTCCTCCTCTTTCTCAGCCTATTCAAAGTGAAGATGAAAAGGATGAAGACGTTTAGGGTGATCCCCTTCCACTTAATGAACAGTAAATATATTTTCTCTTCCTTATGATTTTCTTAATAACATTTTCTTTTGTCTAGCTTATTTTAGTGTAAGAATACGGTACATGGTACATACAACATATGACATGTATTAACATACATGTTAATCCACTGTTTGTGGTATGGGTATGGTTTCCGGTCAATAGTAGGCTATTAGTAGTTAAGTTTGGGGGAGTCAAAAGTTATACTCAAATTTTTTTAAATTTAAAAGTATTAAGGAATACAAATGTCTTTGTCATATAGATATATTGTATAATGTTGCAGTCACGGCTTTTGGTGTGTCCATCACCAGAGCAGTGTTCATTGTACCCAATAGGTAGGTTTTTATCCCTGAGCCCCCCCCCTTCTTAGTTCCCAATGTCCTTTATACCTCTTTGTGCCCAAGTAAGCCCACTGTTTAGCTATTACTTATTAGTGAGAACAAGTGGTGTTTGTTTTTCCATTCCTGAGATATTTCACTTAGGATGATGGTCTCCAGTTCCATCCAAGTTGTTGCAAAAGACATTATTTCATTCATTTTTATGGCAGAGTAGTACTCCATGGGTGTGTGTGTGTGTGTGTGTGTGTGTGTGTGTGCACATACATTTTCTTTACCCACTCATGAATTGAAGGGCACTTAGGTTGATTCCACGTCTTTGCAATTGTGAATTATGGTGCGATAAATATTTGAGTGCAAGTGTCTTTTAGATAAAATGACTTCTTTTCCTTTGGGTAGATACCCAGTAGTGGGATTGTTGGATCAAATAGTGGGTCAAATATAGTCCTCTGAGGAATTTCCATACTGTTTTCCATAGAGGCTGAACTAATTTGCAGTCCCACCAACAGTGCATAAGTGTTCCTTTCTCTCTGCATCCATGTCAGCATCTATTGCTTTTTGATTTCTGAATAATGGCCATTCTGACTGGGGTAAGGTGGCATCTCATGGTGGTTTTAATTTGCATTTCCCTGATGATTAGTGATATTGAGCATTTTTTCATGTTTGTTGGCCATTTGTCTATCTTCTTTTGACAAACTTCTATTCATGTCTTTTGGCCATTTTGTAATGTTTTTTTTTCCTGCTGATTTGTTTGAGTTCTTTGTATGTACTTGAATTTTTGACTGTGCCCCTAACCCCTGAGTTATTCAAGGGTCAAATGCAATTACAGAAATTACAAATCAGCATGGATGTTGTTGGATAGCGATCCAACCGATTGATCTCACAATGTCCTGTGCATGGGAAGGGCAGAGGTCGTTAGTCCCATGGGACTGGAAAGAAAGCAGAGAAGCTCCAGCTTCTCAAGGACAGGACCTGCATCCTGCCTATGTTTGTAGCCCATGAGATGCCTGGCACACAGTGGGTGCGGTACACGTTGTGGGTACCCTGGCTTGTCCCCTAGCCCTTGCCACTTCAGTCAGCCCCACTTCCAACCTCTATTCTTTATGTCACCATGGGGACAGCC